AGTATCACTTCCCGCCATATGCTTACATTCTTGCCAATACACGTCCGCGTCCCGGCCCCAAAAAGGAGTAAATGCCTCTCCATTGCCTTGCACGCCTCGTCACTGACGAGCCATCGCTCAGGCCTAAAAGCGTCGGCATCGTCCCCGAAAATGGTCTTGTCATGGTGCACAACTGCTGGATTCAGCCCGATACGGTAGCCAGCCGGGATGAATTTCCCGGCGAGCTGGATGCCTTCTGCAGGTGCGTGACGCTGCATGCTGAGGCCGACGCTGGGGTGCAGACGCATGGCTTCCTTGATGCAAGCGCATGTGTATGGCAGCTTTGTCGTTGTCTCGGCGTAGGTGATGGGTGAGCTGAGACGGTTGGATGCGAGGGCCGTGTCGATTTCGGCTTGGGCTTTGGCGAGCGCGGTGCGGTTGCGTGCGAGGTGGTAGAAGGTGGTGCGGAAGGCGATGGCGGTGGTGTCTGAGCCTGCGAACCTGGGAGGTTTTGTGTCAGTGATGGGGTGGGGGTGGGATAGGGGGTGGCAACGTACATGGCGACGTAGGCTTCGAGTGTGACTTCGTCCGAGGTGAAGTTTACTTTTTCGCCCTTGTCGTGTACGATGTTGAAGAGCTGTTGTAACATGTCGTTGCGATGCTCGACTCCCTCTGCGTTCTCCTGCATTCGCTTGCGTGTCGCTGTTATGGCGGCTTTGCGGATCCCGTCCAGGCCTTTTACGGCGTTTAACACGGCTGGGACGACGATGGCAGAGCCCATGATGAGTGGGCGGAGATAGGTAGGTGCGATTGCTGAGACGCAGAGGATGGGCATCAGGGCGTCGAGCGAGGCAATGATGGCACCATGGTCTTCACTCTTCTCCAAAAAGCCAAACATGTCGCCAAAGAAGATCTCACCAATGACATCAAACGCATACATCTGCAGCCATTGCCCCAGATCAATAGTCTCTTTGCGATCTGCAAATTCTCCCAGTCGCTTGACGAACAGCGCAGATGCCTTGTTGATGTACACCTCGCTATTCAACACATTACTGAGCGTATACACTGGATTCACAATACGCCGATAATTGCTATGCAGCCGCTCATCCGGCTGCGAAAAAGTGTCCAGCTGCTTGCTGATGCTCGACCCGCCCCAGACGGCGTAGAAATCGGTCTTGCGAAGCGGTCGCTGGTGTCGGTAGATCTTTGGTATCGCGGAGACATCTGTGGTGGACACCTCGTCCGGAGCGAGGCGCACAATGGGTCCGTAGCGCTCGTGCAGACGGCGCTGGACGTCGTGCATGTCGCCGGCGTAGATGCGGTACATGTACCATGTTCGAGAGAGAGAGGCCCAGAAGGGGCCGGGGATGGAGGCGAGGGGGTGGAGGGTGCGGGTGTAGATGAGCCATGCGGTCCAGTATAGGAGAATTGCAGCTGGGATAATGGTTGTGAGCCAAGTAGAGGCAGGGAAGTACAAGCCGGTCTCTGGAAATACGGCCATGATGAATGTCAAATCCGCTTCTCACCTACCACTGTGTAGTGGGAAAGATGAAGAACAGCCTGTAAACGCTCATGGACCTTTTCCCTCCCCCAGACATAAAACAGTTGCACGGGGGAGGGGGACGGTGCCCGCCATATCAGGTATGTGAATCTCGTATGCAAGCTCCGCTCATGTGCAAGCCCCGCCAAAAACAATAAAGGGTTCCAGGCAACGAATTGTCGGGAGGAAGCAAACTGCAGTAGTGGTTGGGTGGTGGTCACCATAGGGGACTACCGTATTAGGACTTAGCTCCGATATGGTACCTTGTCAAAGTTTATAGCCGGGGCTGTTGTCAGGAGATTCTTTCTTCAATCAATTTCATACCTGTCATCACACCATGTGCCTGCGCTGTTTACGATAGTAACAAACGACGCCGACTCCGCTATGCACAGTGTGAAGTGGATGCCGTATAGAAGACAGTTGTGCATGGTCCTTTGTCGACAGTGGACGCTGAATTCCGGAGGACTTGTCGAAAACTGTCAAGTTCGACTGAGCTGACACATGCTGCCTACTCTTCATCTTCATGTCTTGCAGGTATTCAGATTGTCCCTCCCACAGAAGCGGTATTCATTGGTGTGGCTTGACTGGTAGCTTGAGCATCTCCCGTCTGAGTTTACGTCTCTCCACGCGTTGATGATCGCCAGCGTGGGTGTGGGTCTGTTTCACACTGGGTCTCTGCCAGATTTTCGATCTCGTCCACATGATTGCTCGATTTCGATGCTTCAAGCCTGGGTGGGAAGTTTCAGCGAGATACAATAGGGGGGCATCATACGGACTCGTCTAGCTGCACCTTGACTTCAAACAACTCGAGACGGCAGCAAACAGCAGACCGGCTATATTGCATCCGATCGTGGGCACTCCTGGGAGCGGGCAGAGCCCAAATGTTACCCTCGGACTGAGAAAGCAATCCGCCGGCATCAGGATCCTCGTCAGTATCTGGCGGTTACGGTGGTCCAAAGGTGCTGAGGTGGGCTGACCCTCGCTTCCACCGACTTGGGTCCAGTTACCTACCTACCCGCGGGCCCCCCGTCCCCAACCTTACCCTGACCGGCTACGATGCCGTCGGGATTAGCAATGGGCTGAAAACCTTCCGAAACCCTTCACGTCCAACACGCGAGACCTGCCTTCCCCGTCCTATCACCTAGGAACAGAATCCTGCAGTTTACAAGAGGACAAGGGGCAACTCATGGCCTACCTAGAGTACGAACAAGCTTCGGAGAAGCCATCGCATATTGATTCCTAAATAAGCATCTCGCGGTGACAATCCTGGCTGCTATCTCTGGCTTCGATCCCGTCCACGCATTACATCAAACGCCGACTGTTGACTTCCTGACGTTTGAGACAGCGCGGCATACCGTACGGATTCTTGCAAGTGTGAGGCCCCGTGGGGCCGCACCATGATGGTAATGCAAGGACCAATGTCGTTTGTTCGTTTGTTCGTTGCATGTTCGTACCCATATTTGGTGGAAACCATTCTGGCCATAGGTTCCTTACCGGACTAGCTGAAGAGAGAATTCTGCGATTCTCTGTCGATTCAAGACGGTTTAGATGGTGGCCATGTGCCGCCACTGTTGCGGCGCTTCTCGACTCAACCTCTTTGTCGCTCCTCGATCCTCCTCCATCTTGCATAGGCGCACATTATGAAGAAGCTCGTGGGGATGAGTACTTGGTTGCTCCTCGTCGCTCTACTATGTCCCGCGTCATTCGCACAAGAGATGCCATTGTGTGCTACCCAATGTCTAGAGTCTACTTTGAAGGCACAAGATATCTGCGCAGCTACGAATCTCACATGTATATGCACAAGTCCGACATTTATAGGAGGTCTCCAAGGATGCTTGATATCCACCTGCACGGTGCTTGAAACATTGGGTAAGTGCAACCTCTCAACCCGTGCTCGACCGGTCGGTATTCAATGCTGACTGCTCTGCAGCCGCTCAGAATGCCTCGCATACTAGGTGCGGACAGGTCGCTCGAGACATTACACATATCACGCCGATTGTGACTGGTGTCTCAGGAGGCATAGCTCTCCTCTCTGTCATATTCCGCATCGGTCTTGCCGGCCGCAACATTGCACTTGACGACGTCTTCGCCATGGCTGCCATGATCGCCGCACTTCCAATGGGTATCCTCGAGTTCTTCATGGCCGCCGACGGGTTTGGAAAAGACATCTGGACGATTCCGGGGGAGCAAATCTATCGCATTGTTCAGGTGAGTGCGAAGCATTGGGAGCCATGGTGAGAGAATCTTGCACTGACCGTGCCCAGTTCACTTGGCTTACCGAAATCTTCTACTTCCCCGCCCTCGCCTTCACCAAACTGTCGTTTCTTTTCTTCCTGCTGCGCATCTTTCCCGCCCAGGAGTTTCGACGCATCGTGTACATGCTCATCGGAGCATCTGCCGCTTGCGGAACGGCCTTCACGCTTGTTTGCCTGTTCAATTGCACGCCCATCTCGTATATCTGGGAGAGCTGGGACGGCGAGCACGAGGGAAAGTGTATCAATTTTCATATTTTTGCCTGGGTGAATGCTGGCATCAACATCATCTTGGATGTCATCATCATCGCGGCCCCGATACCGCAATTGTTGCGTCTTTCGCTGAGCACGAAGAAGAAGGTTTATATCATCATGATGTTCAGCATCGGGGCCTTGTAAGTTCTCCCTCACTCTTCCATTTACTCTCCCATTAGTTGGCACTGATGTCTGCCCACAGTACCACCATCGTCTCCATAATCCGCCTCCAGTCCCTCGTGACATTTGCCAATTCCACAAACCCAACATACGACAACGTCCCCACAGCCTACTGGTCCGTCCTCGAAGCCTACGTCAGCGTATTCTGCATCTGCATGCCCGCTCTCCGCCGTTTCCTCGCCGGCCTATTCCCGCGCTGCTTCGGCTCGACGCAAGCCGAGTCCAAATACGAACACTACGACACACCCAACACGCCCAATCGGCTGGCAAACAGGTCAAAGCATGCGAGAGTCAGTGCTGGGTATGGATTGTCGACGTTTGGAGGCACGGGCATCACAAAGACAATGGAGACGAGGGTGGAGAGTAAATGCGAGGAGGAGGATGAGATTGAGCTGGTGAGACAGGCAGGTGCGGGGCACATTTTGGGTGGATCTTTGGGGAGGACGAGTGAGGGTGATGCGGGGAGTGGGCGGAGTGGGACGCGTGCTTCTCAGGCTATGCCACAGACGTTTTTGCATTGAAGTTTCGGGACCGCAGCAGCCCGTGGCTGAGATTTTCATGGGTATCCTGGGATTGCTGCGAGGAAATCCGTGGTGTTTTACGAAGAGTAGATGTGTATTTGACGAGAATAGTATTGATCCGATAGAGGTTGGTATGATACGAATGCTTCTTCCGTTTGACTACTATCGAGTCTGGCCCAGTGGGCCTTTGTGAGACTATGAGTTATGAAGAATGCTCCAGGAAGGCGAATGTCAGGAAATACTTCTCGGTGTCGGTCAGCACCGGTGAAAGACAATCTGAGCGTCGCATGTGCCCCCGTGGCGAAGCAGTGGAAGACACGATAGCCATCATGGGACCAATTGGGAGCGGAACGACACGTGAATGTAGTAGAAAATGGAAAAAGAAAAATCCGCCTTTTGTCATCTACCTGGAAGCGCGATCTAGAGTGGTGAGGTGTGGGGGGAAGTGGACTCGAGGGAATGACGGCGAGATTTGATAGTTGACTGGTGTATGCGCGATGATGAGCAAAGTAGCCTGCCTTTGTGTACTCTACTCAAAAGTCTGTAGCTTAGCTGAAAGCCTTCCATCCAAGCCTGTTCAAGCTCAGACGTAGAGGAAGAGAGATTCCTACCTTGGGTGGTATTGCCCGTACGATCTAGAGTACTACACCACGCAACAACTGACGGGCCAACGTGCTCAGCCCGGCGCGCGCAGCTCCGGCGTCCTTGGCCGGTGTACCTAGCGTACCAGAGGAGAGTACCTACACTGGTAACATGGGCATAGAGTACCGAGCATGCGTGCGCCAGTGCACACCGTCCACGCACACAGGCATGCCAGATGCCAAAATGGCAAACGGGGTGCGGTGCGCAGGCAAGGGAAAACCCAGCGGAAGGCCTCCGGCGCAATGCATAGACCAACGCCTGGGCTGGACAGGTGTGCATGCGGACTAGGGCGTGTGCGAGGGTGCATGTGGAAGGAGAGGGTGGAGGGTGGGGGATGGGTACTTCTAGGTACTCCTAGTAGGTGTACTCTAGAGAGGACGAAGAGGAGGACGAGGACGAAGAGGAGGACGAGGGCGAGGGGGTTGTGAGGCTGGGCGGGTGCCACTGGGGTGTGTGAGCGGGGCGGGCGGGCGAGTTTGGGTATTGGATTGGGCATTGAAATGGGCAGGTGGGTGGAGTGAGTTGCTTGGGGCCAAAACAGGCTCGAGAGAGAGAGAGAGGTAAGCCTGTGATTCGGGGCTGATGGAGGAGAACCTGTTTTGTCAGCTTGCCGTTCGTGGGTGCATGAGTAGAGTAGAGTACTCTATGTTCCTAGTGTTTTGCAGGCGCGCAGGGGGTTGGTTGGTTTGGACGCGCTACGGTTGGTGCAACGGGCTGTAGTGTTGAGATCAGCCGTGGATATGGCTGCATCCCAACGTGGTTGGGGGTATGCTATCGAGTAGGATCTATCAAATGGCATATACTCTTCATCACATCGATGGATGATTGCCGTCATGTCGATTGTCTACGTCATACATCCAGGCTTCCACCAAGAGGCCATTCTTAGAGTACACACCCTTGGCCTTCTCCATGATCCGTCAAGTCGAAAACACCATCGCTACCATCATCACGGCATCCAAGAGGACCGGATAGACAGCAGAGACACGACAGTACGGATGGGCCGCCTGATGTCGCCCAACAGCGCATCCATCACCAACATGACATGACATGCCTACCCCGAGTCACCAGCACACATGAGCCATCGCAACACCCTCCGCCCATGCCCATCCTGCACAACCACCACAATCCAGCCAGCTAGCCAAACCCCAGCACACAAGACTCCCGCTGAAGTCGACACCCTATATCATGTATGCACACATGCCACCCCAGCCAGCTCCCTACTCTACCCTACCCATCCTACCCCATGCCCAGCGCCCTCCCACCACCCAACGCAAGAACAGCAACTTTCCCCGAGCGCCCCCGCCCCCCGCCCATCGAATCACAAAGCCGCGTCTTGAGGTCCGCACTCACAGCACAGGACGCTAGACACGATGGCCGTAGAGAAGAGAGAGAGAGAGAGAGAGAGAGAGAGAGAGAGAGTAAGCGCGGGAAAAGTTGTCCGGTAAAGGGTGGGATGGATTGGGGGTTTGGTACATACGGGTACAAGGAACATAAGCAGGTATGGCCAAGTATGGGTATGGGTATGGATAATACAGTACAGACCGAGGCGATGTCGAGTGCCATCCAGTCTGACCGGAGAGATGGCACCGCACGCCAACACCAGCCTGTTTTTTATTAAAAAAAAAAACACGATAGTTTTCTGTACAATACAGCACAACACAGCACAACACAGCGCAATACAGCACAATACAGCACCATACAGCACCATACAGCACAATACAGCACAACAGCACAACAGCACAACGGCACAACGGCACAACACCCGCCCGCTTAACCCCCTTGCATCCCCATGCACCCTAAAACCCCCCCCGCTAACCACATCAAGCCAGCATGGCAAACAGACAAGTGGGGCATGCAAAACCATGGCAAGTATACGATCCCAGGCTAGGCTACCTATCTAGCCGCGCAAACCCTCAAGAGCCGTGGCTGAAAGAAAGAAAAAGGAAGAGCAAAAAGAAGAAGAAGAAGACGAGGGCGGCCGAGGGAATGACCGAGGCGATGCCGTGCCGTGCCGTTGTGCGCCAGCTCTCTTTGGGCGGGTTTGTGCAACAGGATGCATTCTGGCAGCGGATGCAGAGTGGGGAGAGAGGCAATGGGATGATGGATCTGGTAAAGATGGGATAGGGTAGGGTAGGGGTGGGTTGATCATCAACTCATTGCACAGCAGCAGCAGCAGCAGCAGGACTGGGAGCAGCCAAACCTGGATTCACGCCCATTGTCCACCTCCCTTTGCCTTACCCGTGCCATCGAGCGAAAGGGCCTCCCAGCTGGAAATCACCGCGTCCATTCTCGCGCTCTCTGCATCCCTCGCCGCCGTATGCGTGTCTGGGATATACCGACTGCTCACCAACGCCGCCGCGTTCCGTGTCCACTCGTCCGTCATGTACCCCTCCAGCGTCGCCCGCACCTCGCTCGGCAGCCTGATTCCCAGCCGCTGACATTTGGACGTGAGCAGGCGGAACAAGGGCTGCGCGTAATAGCTATAACTCGTGAGGCTGGCCAGAGCACGCAGACAGGTACGTAAGCCCTGGTACAATTCACTGCCGTCTAGCGACCTCGATCTGGCATCCATGTTGGCGCGCGAGATTTCCTCGAGGGTCCCGAAGCTCGCCACTGTGATTGGGTGCAGCACGAGCGTTATGGAATCCATCCAACCGTGCCGGACCTGCTGGAGAGCCAATAATCGGTGAATCTCCTGGACAGCGGCCACCGTCACCGATCGTGCGTGGTCGTAATAAGCCTTGGGCTGCACTGCCGTCGACGCGCCCTCGCGCTGCAGGGCCGGCCGGAAGAGGTTGATGATGTGGACGTGATACATCATCCTACATTCCATTAACAATCGAGCCGGGATCCCGTTTCCGATCCGCTTCACTTACGCGCAGAGCAGATTCTCTCGGGTCGGCATGAGATCAGCATCTAAATCCTTCGACCGGCCTTTCCACCATTGCGTCAGCCGACCGTGGCACCTCTCCATCTCTTCCCACCTCTGGGCTGCACTTCCATCCTTCTTCCCATCTCCTAATATGATGTCGACGCAGTCGAGGATGATGACATATTTCGCACATTCCCATCGGAACAGAGCTTGCAGAAATGTTAGGTGTGCACTGTGACGGTCTCGACGAGCGGTTGTACCTGTGCTGCTGGCATCTTCACAACAAGGCACCGCAATACATGGCGGTCGGTTGATCATCACGGGAAATGCGTAGATGAAGGACATGGCCCTATACGTCGCGTCAGTCGTCTTTTCCAATCTCACTCAAGACCGGGGTGGACTTGCAGCTGAAAATTGAACAGCGCCCAGGCGGTCACGGCGCGCACCCTTTCCCACCTATCTTGAGACACATGGGAACCATCTTGGCCGGTGACTGCTGATTCGCTGGCGAAGAGGTTCATGTGGCGAGCGATTCGACAAGCCTCCTCGAGGAAGGTATAGCCGACCTTATCGCGGCCGTGTTTTCCCAGGACAAGGACTATGAGCAGCTCATGGTTAGCAAATCCCATCTTCCCTGTTGGGAGCCTCTGCGCTGCGATTGGCTGCTAAAAGGACTTCACTCACACAAACAGATACCAGCTTGTAGCTTTGTCAAGCTGTCATAGCCTTCTTCAGTGTCCCAAAGTCGGCGGGCTTCTCTATAAAACAGAGTCGTCAATGAGGTGTCGGAGAAGGGTTTCTCTCGATCCTTCACTACCGGGGAATGGAACTGTTGCTGACTTAGCGAATGATGGCTTTCAAAGGCAACAAACCTTTGAGTGCCTTGGGCTCACAGTCTATACATACGCAGGCAGAAGCAAGCAGGGAATTGACGAGGAGCGGCGAGCAGAAATCCGTTCGTCCACTCGCCATGTCGTCGAGGAAACACTCCCGGTCTAGATAGTGGTAGTAGCTATACTCACATGAAGTCCAAGCGGACATGAGGGAGACGAGCACATGGCTATCAGACGTCACATTCGTCCAATGACGAATGTATTGAAGCCGCGGATCTGACGTCAAGTCATCCGAAGCAGTCGATGGGGAGGGAGATAAAATGGCCTCGAGGGAGGTGGGTGGGGGGACAGCACGTGCACTACCTGAGCTGGCGTTGGTCAAAACTGCACGTGCGATTCCAAAAGTACACGTACCGAGCGGAGACATCGGCGTCCGAGGCAATTCTTCTCCTTTGGCTAGGAGGGCCATCGACACCCATGGATAAAATGCCGGGAAAGGGTAGGCTGTGGGAGTTGAGATTGCTGGGCGAGTCCAAAGCCAGACGTAGCGATGGCAAAGTGACGGATTGCCCATGTTCGTGAGGAAAGCGAGGAGGTGACGTGTGACTTTGTTCTTGTCGATGTTGTTGTTGTTGTTGTTGTTGTTGATATCCTTGGTGCTGCTGATGTTGTTCATGTTGCTGTTGCTGTTGCTGTTGCTGTTGCTGTTGTTGTTGTTCTTCTTCTTGTTGATTGAGCAGATTCCCATGACGGATGAAATTAGCCAACTCCTGAATGCGTTGAGACGGAGAGCTCTCTGCCGGACTGTCTCGTATACGGCGGAGAATCTCCATGGCGTCTTGCTCTGGACGCAGTCGAAGAAAGTCATAGAGCTGACGCAAGTTGGACAGCTCGCCCTGCATCTCCTCATTCTTTCGCTTCATGGCCTGGGAGGGCTTCTCATTGGGACCGAGTTCATAGATGCAATCCGTCTCTTTCTGGCCGCAGCATGTGCACACGGGGCGCTTGCCATCGCACTTTGACTTTCTCTTCCGACAAGCCACACACGCCCCCAGCGTTACCGTGCGTTTGGGCTTTTGGGGCATCATCGAGCTGGACTGTGGCTGCACAGGAGCCTCCTGGTCCATGGGGGCCGGCTGGAGGGGGCGAAAGTTGGCCATTGTCCGTCAGCAGTGGGCTTTCCACAGGGACGGGAGAGGAGAGGCAAGCCGCGAGGATGACGATATGGTATGGCGGCACTAGAATGACGTCGACGTCATCGGTGGGTGACTCGTGAGCTGTAAACTATGTCGGACGGGCAAGAGTCAGTCGAGGATTGATAGCTGTGGATAGGCAGCCCTTGGGGGGGGGGATCTTAGGCGCTCCCAAAACGGGCAGGGCAAGGGCCAAAGCCGCCGCAGTATTTGGCTACTCGGTCCGCTGCGTGCGAAGCCCAAGACCATGTAACGTACTAAGGCACTGCTTTTTCAGTGTGTGGGGAAAAGCATGCCAACGGGAGGAAGGGGCGGGCTCTCAGGCCCACCCCCCAATGCAAGGATTCGCTGGCGAGCCCTAAGCACTACATACAGACGGAAGAGCCTCCGGTGTTCGCCCGCTGCTCTGGCTCGTCGACTACATGTGCTGTGGGTGTGGGTGTGTGTACCATACGGAGGATAAACCAGCGAGCAAGACAGTTACGCCAACAATCGGGCCGACTGCCAGTCCCACTCCACTTTGCCCAGGACCACGGCTAGCAGCTGTTAGCTGGACGGCACGCCTTGCTCCCCTCTGACATATCCTTCATCTGGAACTCGAGGCTGCCTAGGTATTGTGACCGCTACCTCGAGCTGAGACTGGACTGGCTCCTCCTTCACCTCCCTCCACCAATCGCCATCTCTTCTTGCTGGCCCCATCACACGCTGCAGCCCTAGGTAACCCACAGTACAGCAGGGAACTGGAGTGAAGGGGAAGTAACCATCTATCATGCAGACAGGGTACTACTAGCATTCATGCTGGAGACTGGAGACAGGCCAAAGATTTCCCCGCATGAAATCATAGAACGGTAGGCTAACACTGCGGTTCGTGGTCGGATGGTGCTACTTTTCACCACGGGCAATAAGAGTAGGTAAAGCTGAAAGTCCTGCATCGTTATCAATATACATATCCACTCCCTAGCTATGCACGGGCCCAATGATAGCAGCCCGAGCCCATCCGCCATGTCAATCTAGCCCTATTTGCCCCGACCGTACAACTCCTACCACAACCATTGTACGCCCAGCAGAGACGGCTACATGCATACTGTATCCAGTCCGTATTCAATCCATCCTATGCAAATCCATAGCAAACCAGAACCAAACCCAAACCCCCAAAACTTCGCCATGAACAAGAAAGAAGAGAGAAACAATAAAAAGGTCTACATTGCCAAAGTCATAGCCACAGCCGCTGCAAGGCCCATACCAAAAGCTCTGGGCACAAGTGTACCGCTACCACTGTTGGCCGCTGTATTCACTTCCCCAAGCACGAGTTCAGGCGTATAAGGCGGCGACGTCTCCACCACGGTCCCATTCCAGCAATATTGGCTGAAGCACTGCTGGCACACCTCCGGCACGCTTTCGCCGTTGCGCTCCAGACTCCTAGACAGAATCGCGCAGCCGACACAAGTCGGCCAGTTGGATGCGCCCTCGCGCGTCGAATTGCCTTGCGTCGCCACGTTGTATCCATTGCGAATCATCCCACTGCGCTCTTCGAGCGTGTAGTCTAGCTTGTCAAGAGTCGACGTGTTGGACCAAAACACATAAGGAGAGTTGGGCAAGTAGACGATGAGCGGTGGGATGTTGTCGCCCTCGGTCACATTGCTGCTGTTGCATCCAAAGAAGGCGGGGCGGTTGTTCAGGCCGAGTGCGACAAATGTGTCCTGGCCGGGTACATAGGGGAACGAGGTCCTGTTCATAATGTCCGTATTGGCACGCTGGTACGTTGCCACGAGCGAAGTGCCATTGGGCCAATTCTTGGACGGGTGGCTGTCCTCTATCGTATCGGCAGACGAGTCAATTGCAAAGATGACGTCGACTTGACGCATGGGCTGGATGACGGGATTCAGAGGAATGTTCTGAAGATCAGAACCACCATCGACCAGAGTCAGACGCTGGTTGCCCGCACTTGGATTCGTGTCGTTGTGGTAGCCCAGAAACGGGTTGGGCGTGTAATCAGCAATGTCGTTGGCGTCCTGGCCAATGGCGCCCAACAAGGAGGTGATGGCACTGTTAAGAATAGTCGAGTCGCCCGAGGTAGAGGAAGAGGAGGCGGTGATGAAGGCCTGGTTAAAGAGCGAACTGCTAGTCCCCATGATGAAACCGAGGTTGTCGAAGCCTGCCACGCAGCCCTGGCTCTGGGGGAGCTCACCGGCGGAAAAGTTGGAGCCAATGTACCTGAGCGGGGCAAACCCGTACGTCGTAGGATCATGGGAGCCCATTTCAAACGGGTTGAACTCAAACACGGTTGCGTTGAGGGAGATGATGATGTTGCCTGGGGCGCGCTCGTCGGCCACGAGGATGGGCATCGGGGCGTTGCCATTGGCGAATTCGGCGTCGTCCTGGATCGAGGAGTAGGTGTAGGCGGGCGCGCCGTTGCTGGCATTGATGAGCTGGAAGGACAGGGCGCGGCCGTAGTAGTCGGTGATGGACGAGTTGAAGTCGCCGGCGGGCGAGTTGACCTTGTCTCTGACTGTGTCGACCACGTTGGAGAAGTAGTCGGCCGTGGAGAGAAGCCGGATCTCGCCCGTGGGCGGGCCCTGGAACAAGGAGTTTTGGAACTGCCAGATGTCGTCGTTGTTGACTATGTCCTGGACCGAGGTGAAGTTGTTGGCGAAGATGCTGCCAATCAGCCAGCCGCCGCCGGAGAGGGCAGAGACGTAGGTGGCCGCCTGCAGCAGACCGCCCAGTTGGCCAGGGTTGGTTGCGTTGGTGGTGCGGCTGTCAAAGGCCGCGAGGGCGCCAGCACCGTTGAGCAAGGCTCGGTAGCCGCCGCCCGAGAAGGAGAGGGCGATGTTGGGCAGGGCGGTTGTGTTGCTGCCATGGCGGTCCATGTAGGCGCCCACGTCGAAGCCCGTGATGTTGGCGCGCTCGAGCAATTCGCGCATGGGGGCGACCGTGTTGGGGCGGCGTGTCTGCAGCCATTGGCTTTCTGCCTGCGATAGACTGCCGGCAGAGCGAATGCTGGGGCGCGTCGACGGGCAGTCGACCTCGGCGGGTGCATAGCCGTTGGGTGCCTGGGGTGAGGCGCGCTTTTCGCTCCTGGGCTCTGCGGGTGCGAGGGCTGAAGCTACGATGAAATGTCGTCAGTTACTCTGTCTGTCTGTCGTTGGTGTGTTCAAGGAAGTCGCCGGTGGTAATGGTGGTAGTAGTGGTGGTGGTGGTGGTGGTGGTGGTGGTGATGGTGACCATGGTTCCTGCAGAAAACATCCACCCACAGCAAAAGACAACAACATACCGCTCGCTAACCCTGACAGCGTCGACGCAGCCGCGACAATCAACGTATACTTCATCGTCCTCCTTGTATTTCCAGAATAAAACAGTCGTGCGTTCCCCCAACAAAAGGCCTCACCACAACAGTAACTGGTAAGATGGGATCCAATGTCGAGGAAGGGAGCGAGGCGAAGGCGAGGAATGCACCAAGGGATAATAGTAGTACTTAAGCCACCACGATCATCATTTGTACCGGTAGAACGCTCGCGCACATTCATCCCAGTAATGGGACATGCGTTTCTGATCTTCCCCTCCCTCCCGGGAGGCAGCGGACTTGGCCCACTTGTGGCTGTGTGTTTGGCTGCCCTGGACAGAAATAACTTGCGCTACAGTAAGATTGCAAGGCTGACGGTCGGCCGCCTAATTGGCCAAAGGAGACGATTAGAGATGTAAAGAAGAGGCAAATTGTCCATGCTGACTTTACTTTGCAGTACTGTATCCTCCCTCTGTCGTCCAACTCACAATACCTTGCTTATTTACGTACTACTTACCTACCATAGTACCCCTACCTACAGAGTACACAGCAATGTGCAACCAGGATATCTCCGGATGATCCGCCAGACTAAACCACCATGACATCCATCATCCACGCCAGACCGCCTCTATTTCCCTATGCTGCCATTGTCTTCAAAAACAATTACACAATGACCTCATCGTCTGACACGCACCTCTCTACATCCATTGCATTTTGCTGTCCGGTGTACATACATACGTACTGTAGGGGGGCAGTGCACAGGCTCACTGATCTGATGGTCCAACTAGGACGGACCCTGCTCTGCTGAAGATCGTCGGCCTGGGAGCTATGCAGTGCGGTACGGTCCTGGAAATCTCTCTGTGTGTAGATGGACTAGACTGGTACGGCGTCGTGGTCAAGCATGCTCCTTGGGGGAAAAGTAGGCTGTGGTAGTTGGTACCTAGCCCGGGTTTCTGGACCTTTGTTTCATGCTGGGAGGGGTGGGTTTGTTTCATGTTTTTTACATTGTTTTTATTTATGCATGCATGTATGCGCTTCATCAACTAGTCGTTTACTTTCATGTCCCATACCGACCCTTGGTCATTTCTACAAGGCAAGTCTATCAGAAGTCCAGAAATCCATCACATTTCACAACTTACCCTTATCCTTCTTCTTCTTCTTCTCCTTGCCCTCTTTCAATCTAGGCCTCAAAATACTCTGCTGCGTCATACACGCCACCGCCCTGCCCTCCTCATCCCACACCCAACTCTCCCCATACGTCCTCCCCTCAGCCCCAACCTTTGTGCTCAACTCCCTCAAATGCCACCTCCTCGCATCAATCCGATTCCGAAAGAAGCGCAGGGAAAAATCCAAACTACTCGCCGCCCCAACATCCTCAAACCACAAGTGACTAAAAGCGAGGGGCGCAAACGATATCGCCGCGTCCATGATCCACGTCAAACTCGTGATATTATCCACCTCGTCTGCAAACCGCTCCGCGCTACGGAACCAATCCGCCGTCGTGCGTTGTGGCAGCGCCAACCCGTCCTGACTATGCGGTAGCGACTTGGCCATGCCGTGCAGCGTCTGCGCAAAGATGCCTTCTGGACAAACACGCTGTTCAAACAGGTCCTGCGCGAGCTGGAACCCTTTTGCATGCGCATCCACCTGCGCCTGCGTCACCTTGCCCTCTGCCAGCAATTTCTGCTGCGCGTCAAGTTGCGTCGGACACTGCGACCACGCACTATACGTCCGACTGGGGGCGCGCGAATACTCCAGCAAGACATCCTGTTCCGGGGTCTGGAAATCCGCAAGCGCAATCAGACATAGGCGCGTCTCGCCATCGTCGCGTACCTGGCTGACTTCGACCTGCCGCGTGGCAAAGGTCCGGGTTTGTCGCAGCGTGCGCACGCTGGCGCGCAGTTGGTGGTTGGTCGAGGCTGGGCCTAGGAAATTGCCTTGCATCGAGTACAGGTGGTAGTCTGGGGGTACGGTGAGAGAGGCTGCTTTGCAGGCGACGGCGAGGGCGTAGCCTCCGTATGCAATTGGTTGCGGGTTGCCCATGCGTTGAGGCGTCGTTGTGGTTTCAAAGGCGGTGTCATTGAGGCGGCGGAGGTTGAGTTGGGTGGAGAAGGGAATGGTTGGGGGTTGCGGTGTCATGGTCGTTGTGGCATGTGCAAGTCTGGGTTTATGGAGAGGGGGTGCAAATGGGAATATGAAGGGAAGCGAAGGTGAATAGAGCAAAGAGTGTTGCTGGAATTGAAAGAACAGGTCATGCTGTGCTTCAAATGTTCATTGTATGGTAAAGAAGCTTAGAACCGCACTAGTAGTCTTCTACCTCGGTCCGGTTCTACTCGGTGGTTTTGGACCTCATGAATCGCCAATTCGATCCTCCTCTTCGAAGACGTCTCGCTTTGCCAAAGTTTGTGACCATAGACGCCTATTCTCTCGTTTGTGCATGTATAGCAGAGACAGACTCTATTATAGTCGTCACAGTATGGCCATCTCCAAGCTTCCACGCCCATGCCGGCAGGAGTTCAAGGAAGAATAGCACACATGTTTAGATTCACATGCTCCAATGTTTGCAAACAGAGGCGCATCCCTGACTACCATATCCGCTTAGCTACCATAGCATACCGACTCACATGCCCAAAACTAACTCCCCGCTCTCTTTCCTGCTCTTCCTTCTTCTTCGCCTTCTCATCCCTCTCATTCAACCGTGCCAACGACTCGGGATCATCGCTGTAAATAACCTTCCTCATCTCGTCGTCGACATCCACAACACCCCAGCCTCCAACCCGCCTTCCCCCCGTCTCCACACTCATCATCTCACGCTCCCGCATGCCATGATACCTCTTACGGGAAATGGACAGCAACAGCATACCAAGGAGCAGTTTACAAGCAAGGAAGATGAGATATAGAATCAGGAAAACAAGTAGCATTGTTGATCCGGCGATGAGGTCGTCGAGGGACCAGGACGAAGGGTAGTACCAGGCTTGGGCAGGAGCGCCGGCGCCAAACGAGGATCGCCCGAGGGCGCGGCGGAACACTCGGTCAATGTGGTCAAAGGCGGCAGTGGTCGAGGGCGACGACATGGAGTCAGAGGTGAGAGATGTGGACATGGTGGGGAGAGGGGGTGGCATGTACATTGCAATGGACATGTGATAAGTCTGGATAGCTGCTCGGACGAAGAGGCAGCATAGCGGGATGACTGGTAGACCAAGCCTCCGCGTCAAGTTTGCATCGACAAAAGCCTGTTACTGCTTAGTATGCGTGTAGGACTGTTGGGAAGGCAACGTACATTGGAATAATAGTCCTTGGCGAGCACGTCGAAGAACTTGCCATACACCTCGGGTTTATATTGGTTGAACTTTGTAATGTACGCGTGCTTCAGCCAGTCTACGGCCATCTCGCTACCGAGCACAAGCAGGAAGGGATTCAGTACTTGCGCAATGTACTTTGGGAATATTGTAAAGCTCATGGGTATAATCTTGGAAGCAGTAAACGTAGTAGTCGCAGTCGAGGCATTGGCACTAGTAAACATTGCTGTCCAAGATGTGTCTGAGCTTTGGATACTAAGACCACCGACTTCTACAACGTTGCGCATCGCAATGATGAGCAACATGAGCCACAGCTGGAAGCGCTCCACAATATCGGCGCAGGTAATCTGAAACAGATTCTCCTTTTCGAATTTCTTGAACACCGTACCCTTGATCTCTACAAACTGGTTCGACATGAGCAGTGTAAGCAGGGCGTTGGAGTACGAGTTTACAGCAACGTTGAGTGTGATGACCTGGTAGAACAGGGCGGTGGCGTGTGCAACGGTGTATATCAGGGCAAGCGCAAACATGGCAAAAGGACGAAGGATTTTGCTTCGTCCATCAGGGTTACGATCGAGCGTCTCACGGGAAAATAGGCATTCGAGTACATCCTGGCCAACAGCGGAGAGCAGCCGGTCGCAGACCTCGAGGACGTTATATATGACGTAGAGTTTGATGGCTGATTGCCCTCGGATACCGTGATACATGCGACTGGCGTCAAAGGGCATCAAGACGAAGCAGCTTGCAATGACCAAAAGTCCTTTGAGGATATCTGCTTTATGAGTGGGTTGAAGCGTCGACGGCGTCGACTTGCTACGGCGATGACGGAAGCGCGAATTGCGTGTTCGTCGTGGCCTGGGCTCCTTTGGGTCTGGAAACTTAAAGGTGGTTGACATTGGGCCCCCTTGGCGAGCTGTGGTAGTAGCCGATGTCACTGTCCG